AAAATTCTCACCATTATCATTGGAGAAACTTCCATGGAAAAAAACATTCAAATTATTCATTCAATTAATGCTACACAGAAAACTAATATGTTGTCAATATCATCAATAATTGTTCAAAAGGTGTTAAGTATTAATATTTATAACTAATTAGTTTTTTTTTCCATACATTGTCATTATGTAACCAATTTGAAGTAAGGGAAAGTGATTCTCGTACTTCTGAATAATTGGAATAAAAAGACAAACATTCAACAGATATTTAACCGATCGCAGAAAAAAATAGTATGTGTATTTCGGTGGAAAAGCGCATTCTCGGGCTTCGGTGATTGCCGGCCTCGGCTACGCCTCGCCCGTCAACTTACACCGTCGGCCGAGAATGTGTTACTTTTCCACCTAAATACACAATATACTATTTCATCACCAGTTGCGAAAAGTTTTACTTTTCGTAAAGGTACGGTTTCGCTGACGCGTCTGGCGGTGGCGACTGATCGCTGCAATTTTTTCTCCAAGCGAATGAAGTAAGCTCGGGGGTAACTGGATGGTTAAGCGACAGTAAAAGTACGAGCGGCACTAAAAGTACTTTTACTGCCGGTGCGGTTGCCTAGCAGCATAGAAATTAAATCTCTACCACCTCGACAGGTGCTAACCTGCTGGATTTGCCTAGCAGCATAGAAATTAAGTTTCTGACACCTTGACAGGCGTTAACAAAGTGACGTTTTTTTGACGTTTGGAGAAGAATTCTTTTATTGTTCACTCTCGTATATATGTATATGTATAGCATATTTTTGAACTTCTTCAATTAATAATTCATCCTAGCTTGTAGGAGAAAGACATTTTTCCTACAAAAATCGCTTAGCAGTGCGTCTAGACTGGTCTACCTACCAGTCGAGTCGCGAATTCTGCGACTGGGTCGCTAGTGACCGCGGCTGAAGCCCTCCAGCGAAACCAGAAGTTTTGAAAAGTGTCACTTTAAATGTCAAAATTAGAAAAAATCATTTTCGGGATTTGTAAATTTAAAAAAGGGGAATTCAGAGTACCCACAGTGTATGAATTTAAATAACCATGAAAGTAGTGAGCCTCAGGAAATTGCTGAGATGTTCAGTAGCCATTTCTCATCGGTGTACTCGGATACATTAATTAAAACCTATATCAGCGAAAAAAACATTTTTTTTTTATTGATAACCTATTTCACTTATTTAAAGTACTCCTCAGCGTGTTTAAATCCAACATTCAAAAACGCGCGTGTTTTAAAGTTACCAATGACAACATCAACAACCAACAACCCGAGAAAGGTCTAAATGTCAACTTTTTAATTATTGATTTGTCAGGAGTAGGTTAGGTACTTGTAGATAACGTCAAATAAAATGTAACAAGTGTCAAGCACAAATTTGCATTCTACAATTATTAGTAATTTATGATTTGAACGTAGGTATACCAATAAAAAAAAATAGTGTAAAGTATTCGTGAGTCAGCTGAAAACACTTGCTCTATTTCGAGCACTCGGCTGCGCCGTCGTGCTCGAAAATCGCGCGTGTTTTAAAGACCTTAATATCAACTTATACTTTAATATACTATTTTTTGTCGCAAACGGCCACAATAAGGAATTAAAAATGCGGAAAAATTCAAATTATTTCCAGCGGGAAAAAACGCTCTGGTACTGGTCGTGACGTCATCACGTCAGTATGATCTGTAAGCAACCGTCCATCATACCGTGAGTTCGTCTTGAAACACTGAGCGCTTGGAGCATTTTCTGTCTTTTTTCCTTATGATGAGAAGAACAGGGATAAAAGAACAAAACAGCAGCTCCAAGCGTTTACTCGAACTCTACATAATTAATACCCTTTAGCTGTGTTTATCCACGTTTTTCTCTAATTTTTTAAAATTTATCATTTATTAGAATTGGTTTACCTGGCTTAAATTTAATGATTAGCTCAGCATTATTTAAATAAAACGATATACCTATTAATTATGACCGAAGAAGGAAATTGCAAAGGCCAATCCGACAATCTCTAATTTGTGATATTAGGCAATTCAAACCACGTGACATTCAAGATGGCGTGGCGGCCACACATGGGCCAAAAAACACAAAAAAATATCTAGTTTCTGCCCAAATTAATAGTTTAGGTACCTAGTCAACAAATATTTTATTAAATAATGAAAATCAAACTTGTAAGCAAAACTGTATGCAAAATAATTTAAAATACGCATAAAAACATATTCAAAACAAACTTACTTGGCCGCCACGCCACATTGAATTTTCCTTTTTGACAGATGGATTGAATTGCCTAATATTTATGGTAGCAAAAGTAAAGGCCGTTTTACAGCTTGCAAGAAAACTTGAATGCAATTTGTTGCATGCAAAAAAATTGCATTCAAGATTTCTTGCACATCGTTTTACACCTTGCAATTTGGCTTGTTTCCTTCTATAACCTTAACCATACTTTTTTGTTTTTAATGTTGTGTTGTTGATGTTTGCCTTTTCCAAAAATGAAAAAAGCGATGTGTGGAATGCCTTCCAACGACCAAGGTTGGACACATAGCGATTTGTGGAATCGTGTAGCCGTGCCCCCATCGGATACATTTGCCGAATGTTAGAGTAAAAAATACTGTATCCAACGTTGGGGCCAATGGTTGGACACATAGTGTGGCGCCGGCTTAACGCAAAATCATACTACGTGACGTCATCCAGATTCGCGCGCATTTAAGGTCGTTTGAAATGCTTTTAATTCGCGCGAAACTTTAAACATTTTTCACCAAGTTATTTGGGGAATACTCTTTCAAGGCATAAATAAATGATTTAAAAAAATTTAAAAAAAAATTGTAAAGTTCCCTATTATCTGTTTTAGATTTTTTTAATAAAATAATCGAATTTAAGCAAGCCTTAAGCTCTGGGCCAGATGGAGTACCAGGTGTATTGTTGAAGAGTTGTAGGTTTGTCCGTGCAGAGGTCTTGTGCAAAATTTTTAATTTGTCGTTGAGTAGTGGAAAGTTTCCTTCATATTGGAAGCTTTTTTATGTAAAATAAGGAAATAAAGAACTACCGAGCGATATCCAAAATGTCATTAATTTCTAAGATCTGTGAGGCCATTATTGCAGACAAGATAACTCACCTTTTTAAAAACCTAATAATAAATTAGCAACATGGTTTTATGAAGATTCGATCCACCATATCCACTCTGTTGTGCTATGAGCAGCGTCTGTTGGAAGTCTTCGAGAATGGGGGTCAGATTGACTCCATCTATACTGATTTCCCGAAGGCTTTTGACGGGGTTGGGATTTTTGGAGTTCTACTCAATTGGTTTGAAAGTAATCTCAGCGAAAGGAAACAAGCAGTTAAAATTAAGAATTATATATAATCTAAGGCCTGTGTAACCTCAGGTGTTCTACAAGGTAGACATATCTTTCAACATTTTTATTCAACTGTTTTATTGATGACATAAAAGATGTTTTCCAGGTCTGCCAGCTTCTTACTTTTGCTGATGACTTGAAGCCTTTCATGGTCATAAGATCTGAAAATGATTGTCGGTTGTTTCAGGAGGATCTCTATAGATTTAGTGTATGGTGCAAAAATAACAACTTATCTTTGAATACAAGTAAATGTCAAGTAATTTCTTTTTGTCGACTAAAAGAACCTTTTCTTTTTAAATAGGTATACCCCTGGACTCGGTGGAGCTCGAGAGGCAGATCTCAGTGAAGGACCTTGGAGTATGGTTTGATTCTGAGCTGTCATTTATAAATCATATTGACAACATTACAAATAGGGCCATGCGTCTGCTGGGATTTGTCTTTCGGGCCCTATCGGGGTTCGAAAATATCTTTACATTTAAAGACATTTATTGTGCACTTGTGCGATCAGTTTAAGAGTATGCCACATCTGTGTGAAATCCTCTTTATGCTGTTTACAGTGAGAAATTAGAGAGGGTTCAGCGCCGCTTCATCAGGAGAATTGGATTCAAGCTAAATATTCCTTATGATGAAATTAATTGTGACAAAATCATGAAGTTATTTAATCGAGTAGACCGATCTCCTATTACCTGGACTGCGCACGTCGCTTGTAGGCTGCAGGTGAGCATCCAATGAGAAGCAAGTTTGTGACAGGCTTGCGTCATATTCTTATTCAGGGGCCAGTTAAGAATGAATCGTTTCTTCTTTCTTTGTAACGTGTAATTTGACAAAGAGCAAACTAATACTTTACATATTACTTGAACTCGCCGCAGTTTCGTTTAAGGTTATGTTAGATTATACTTGACATATTCCATTGCAATTTCATTGATGAAATATTTATCAAACTAAAAGTGCAATGTTCATCCACTTTAAAGCTCTTCTTTTGTCTGATTGAGGACGTTTTAAAACACTTGACACTAGATCACTTCTTTAATGTTATAATGTTCGATTTGTATTGTCTATATTTGTTCTGCAACAATACAAATCTGGCTACACTGCATCCTACGAGCTGCGCGCGCATGTCATCTTTTATTGCTTTTTAACTTGTATTTATTACAATTAAGCTCTCTTTTTCTAATCATGCGAGATAGGTCTATTCGCCAGATCTCCTTGCGGCAGTTGGCATCCATGGACCATGTGTCTTCAATAAATCCTAGAAACAAAGATCTTTTCAATGTTGATTTCCATAGGACCAATTACGGCATGAATTCTCCTTTAACTAAATAGAATGTGTAGGCTCACAAATAAAGTGATAAAAAAAGGTGATATTGATATATTCTGTGATTCTTTTGCAAATTTTTTTTAAACAGTTGTTTTAGATTTTGTTTTTGACTAGGTACCTGATATTGTTTTTTACTGCTGTTCTCTCCTTAAGTTTAATTAATTATTGACTAGTGTTAAACTTGTAAAATGCTTTATGCGTAAATAAAATTTGAATTTTGAATTTTGAGTACCTATAGTTGTTGGGTGAATATAAAAAATAGTTCCAGCTGATTTACTTATTTTCTAAAAGAGACAGGAGGTTTCAATATTGACCCTAATTTTGTTTCTCTTTGTAGGTAACGTATCGTTTCGTCACCCATCTGCAGGCACTTGGTTTATCCAAGAGCTCTGCAAAAACTTCTCAGCCTACGGTAGAAGAGACGACGTCATTTCCTTGGTCACCAGAACTATAAAGTGCGTCTCAGGTTACTACAACTTCGATGAGGACGTTAGTGAAGATTTGCAGAAGCAAATGCCAATTTTTGTTTCGACCCTTTCAAGAAAATTCTATCTGAATAGGAATAAGGATAGGCACTTGTTGTTGGAGATCATGCGGAAGCAAGAGGAAATTTATAATATGGTTAAGGATATAAATAGAAAAATAAAAAACTAGATTTTTTTTATAACAATTTATTAGGTACCTATCTATGTGAATTATAGTAGATACCTACATATTTCCTAAATTGAATAGCCTACACATTATACAGAATTTATTAGTTTTGTGGCCTATTATCATTGTGTAATCAATTAATAATTTGTAAAAATTGATAATAATAAAATTATTTTTTAACAAACCATGTAGACTTCGCTTGTTTCTTTGAGTCCTAATGTGTATTGAAAGATAGTGTGGCAAATCTATGGAGGTCAAATCTCAACTTTTCGCTGGCCAAATGACGGTTCTATTTTTTCCCATCTAGGTACTATCCAAAATGTTTATTCAAAAGTAATGACAGCACTTTGATGGTAAAAGGTACTGCCAAATTGAGTTTGGATACTCATGGGGCCCAATTATTAGCATCCAATAATATACCAGACCTATTCCTTTTATTTATTTCCATGATCTCAACAGAAATTTACTTATTATACTTACTGGCTGTCGATCAAACAAATGGACTATAGGTAACAATTGGCAAAACTGTATTACGTAACATAAAATTTGAGCATTATTGTTTGATCAGAAAGTACTACTATTTTAACAGATCTGCTAGGAAAATAGAAGAATTTATACATGTGTCTTAGCTAGGAATATCAATTATCAAATATATCCTCACTCTGGGTTACGTTTCAGGAGCCTAGAGTGAGGCCGAGGTGATATTCATACTAAAGGCAGGACGTCGGCCAGAGGATGAACAGAAAGGCAGCAGTGTTTGAGCGGCTGGAATAAGCTGTAGCTACTCTAAATGCAATCTAGAAATTTACATCAGTCCAGCCAGGAATGTTTGGCAGATTCTAACCCTCGTCATCAGTCATATTAATTCGCTATGCTAAATGGATCATCAAGTGTATTATGTACAACGTCCAGCGTCCCCAACTACCATCATTTTTTCAAATTCTAAATGCGGATCTAGGTATATTATGAAGAAAACTAAAATGCATTAAAGTTAACTACTAAAGTCATTATCAAATACAAGAGTCCAACAAATATTTGTGTCCATCCGATGATGTACGATCAAAAGCTGCCATTTACATAGTTTTAAGGCTCAGTCCAAATTGAATAATAAATAAATCGTTGACCACTTTGAAACCCCAACTACAAGCCGTAATGTCAGGTTTTTCAGAAAATATCGTCGTGTTAGGACGGTCCAGTATGCTGCTGTATATCAAGATTTTAAGAGCTTTAAATACCGTTTTCGGTTTTATGGGATTTTCGGGTAACCGTCCTGCAAGTGTTGTCCGATTCCCATCATTTAGTCAAAAATAAATTTGATTATTTTAATGCGCTTTTTACAGTTAACCGTTTACAATGGGCCGGATAAATAAATTAGAAGTTTTGAACATTTTTCACGAATAAACCCAAATTTTATGGTTTATTTGGCCGTTGATATTATGCCATTAAAAATTGTGTATAAGGCATACAAAAACATGGAACATCATATTAGTGGATCATTTATTAAACGATAAGGTTGTATAGACATTTTTTCATGTCCTATATACATCTTTGAAATTTGACATATTAATTTGATCTTCCCCCGTATATAATAATTAATCCGGTTTCATAGAAACAATATTGTTTTTACAGTGCAGAAACTCCCAGTCCTAATCGGTATTGCTCAAACAAAACCAAAGACAAAAGAGAAAGTATAATAATTGGCCAGCAGTCAAACCGAAATTACACCCGAGCAAACATATTTTTCTTGCGGTTTACAAACAGTTTTAGCAGAATGCATTTGAAAATATTGTTAATATTAACAATTTGCTGCATGGCTTATAGCTACGACCCGGCGGACTCGGAAATCGACACGGTGATCATGCCGAAAGGTGTCTTTGAAGCATTTTATCCAAGAGGTGAAGATCTGGGTTCTTCCAGAGCCGCCCATTCGCATGGAAGTTTCTACAAGCATAGAAATCCGGCCCTGGTGGATGCTAAAAATGCTGCCGCTTATGGTTTTAGGTTCGATGGCAAACGTAGATTTAATTATGAGTAAATTATTGTTGTTGTAACAACACGAGAACTTGTGAAATAAATAACTGTTCTTTTGAAAAATAAATTTGTTGTATTATTTTCATGCTTACTTCTATGACTTTTTGCGTTTGAAAGTCTCAGTAAATTCTATGAAGTCAAATTAGTTTTGATAAAAGCTGTTAGTGAAGTGGGTGTTAAGACTGTTAAGTGGACCTGTGACCCACAGAGTCCGCGACAATATTTACCAATATATTTTTTTATTTATGTCATCTTCGTTTGGCATTTTAGCGAAAGCTGGGCAACTCCATGGTTAAACGCTTTTATTACGATCTCTGTAGATTTTGCATTGGTATTGGTATATTTGATTCGTTGTTTATTTTTATGTCCATCGGTTTTTCTTTTGTATCTTGTTTCTTTGGAAAATGGAAAAATTTTGTTAAAGGGACTTAGGTAAGATCACATTTTCTAAGGGTCAGAAAATCTTTCAGATTAATTCAGAAATTGTAATCCTAATAATTTACCGTATTGTTACGAAATTACATACGTAGAGAGATCAGGTTGATAGGCTTATCGCGAGAACAAATCGTCAAATTGGAACGATCTGATTTGAGAGGGATGAGGCATTGTTACGAAATTACATTATCAAGTAAAGCCAACGCCACTGTGTAGGACCAATGCCGGAAGAAACAATAATTTTAAAGAGTCAGCATAGTTTTCGTGGATTGCTGTTTTGTCCAGAATCCATTATCAAATTATTGAGTTTATTCCCGATTCTTCTTGGGATTTTCGCTGCTTATGTTCATTAATTTGGTCCACAAACAATCAATATATTATAAATGTTCTGTTTTCTTCCATTGTCTCATTTTTCCCTTAGACTCAATGTCTTGCCTATATTTTGTCCAATAACTTCAATATAAAATTGACTTCTGCTGCTGCTCTATTCGACATGACCTTTGCATCTTTTCATCCTACATTTTCCCTTCTTTTCTTTGTTCAACCATTGCCAAATAATCAATTGGCGAGTTCGGAAACGACATCGCAGATGCGAAAGATTTTCTCTCACGTGACTTGAAATTGATTTTATATAAGTTACACGTGACAATTGTCAAAATTTTCATCTTTTTGCTCTTGGAGCTATTTTTCAAACTCACCTAATATCTGATTGGTTTCTTATGGCTATGTTCTATATATTTTACTTGTTTCCACTTGTAGGTATATTATTGATACATCCCGTGTTTTTGTCTCTATTGTCATTGATCAGGTACCTACTGTCGTACTCTCCTGCCTATTTTGTCTATGCTAGTCGGCTTTATTTTTATTTTTATTGGCCTCTTCTTATGACACAAGTAAATCTACTTAAGTAGGTACTTCACTTATTTTTGGAGCGTTTCTACTTCACCATTCAACGCCAGTCTATTCTTCTGTTCCTTTTTTCTTTTCTGTATTTCATCTATATTTAAGCTCCTACAAAAATGAATATTTAATTTCCAAAAACAAAAAAATGTTAACAATATTTAAATCGGTAATTAACTAGGAAAAAGGTACGTAACATATAGGCGAAGTGAAAAAATTTAGATGTTACCATAATCTAAATCTTCTAATCTAAAGCCATTGTTTACATAACTGATGGTGTGTCGGTGCATCTAAAAAGCTCGGGCCCTAGCCACGGATGACGTAACAATCGGTCAAACCAGTCATCTTGACTAATTACCCCTAGGACCTCGTTAAAAGTAAATTATATATCAATTTTATTTCTTTATTGTTTTAAGTAAAATGCAGTGAATGTTAGGTAGTGATAAACTATACGTGAGGAGAAAATGTAAAAAACATTGTTTTGAAAATTTGGGTTTGGATTCAAGCGTTCAGAACTTGTTCAGAATCAGAAGTTGTACTTATTTGAGTCTTGATGTCCGAATTTTGATCTTAAATGAGTAATTTCTAGTGTATCGTCGTTGTATGGGGATATCAGAAAATTCCGAGGAAAATTCAGATTGTTTCCTATATTCGATTCAGTGGAGAACTGCTCATTGTCATTTCGAGGTAATCAAATTCGTTGGCATAGGTACACTTCTGTTAACTTCCCGAATAAATTAAACAACAATTTGCACTACTTGATAAAGTTTTTAATTATAAAATTGGAAAATTACTTTCTAATTTAATTTTAGCAACACATTTTCTTTTGGCGCTTTTTCTTCACACTACTGTATCGACTTTTGACAAAAGACATTACTAAATGACATTGCATGAACATAGCCACAGATGCTGGCTTTAACTACTGATTGGTTTTCATAAATCTGAATTGTTCTACTCTAATTGCTCCAATCAACACTCCCTTCCAATCTCAGATTTATACAAACAAATCAATATTGTATAAAATAACTACCGTTGGATGGTGTGACATTGCAACTTGCAGGAAACTTTACACAGACATGGATATTTTTTTCTTAAAATTAATATTTTTGAAATGTGACAATGTAACAAATTTTTTGCTACACAAAACGGTCAAATACTTGCTGAAACATGTCTGCCCCAGCAACTGGTGCTTTAGTGGTTTTCGTTACTTTGCAATGTAAACATATATAAATTGTGCATTTTGACATTCTCGAATGAAGGACAAAAGCTAAGGGATCCACAGCTTCCTTATCAAGGTATGTATTTTATTATTGGTATATAGTACTAAGTATTACCCTTTGTGAACACATTTCAAAGTATTTCAGAAACACAATCATAAACATGGTAAATATATTTTAAATTTCCAATGGTAGTGTGACTTTACACATTTTTTTTTTCAGGAAAATTTGAAAATGAGCCGTATTTATAGGAAAAGGGTTGGTAGCCGCCCTTACAAAAATTATACCAATGAATCACTTGATCGCGCTATGCAATTAGTAAGAAACGGATCTTCCTATAGAGAAGCTGCTGCCAAGTTTGGAATACCATGGAAAACCCTATGGAATAAGATAAAGGCCAAGCACACCAATAGTGTTGGCGCTCTCACACTTCTTACAGAGTTGGAAGAACGACATTTTGTTGATGTTCTCTTAGCGACGGCGGAATTCGGTAGTCCGTTAACGGCGTTTGATTTACTTTCAGGTTCCTGAAAAACTTTTGTTCTTTTAGTATTTAAGTTGAAGTGTACCTGTTTTCCAAAGAATATTCTAGTTTTTTTTATTTCTATTATTTGGTGTTTATTTAGAGAGAATCTTTTTTATTTTTTGACCAAAATATATTATTTTTGTGCCTTGAAGGGTATTTTGTTTTATTTTCTACGTTTATGATGTTTCTCATTCAAAAAAAAAATCACAGGGTAGGTAGGTTACCTTTAAAACTTTTTTAAAACATAAATATTGTGTAAAGTCACCCTCAGAACGCACAAACATTGAAAAACGTAACACATTAAACCAGTGTGTAATTTCACACCATTGGAGGGAAACTTTACACACATTTCGAATTTTTAAAAAATATATCTGTACTTTTTCCAAAAATATTATAACTTGATTCGTTAGGAAACATCCAAATGTAGTACATATATCAGCCACTTGAATATGGCATCATGATTTAGGTGATTTTTTTTGTCAAATATCAAAAACTTGTTGCAAAGTAACACCATCCTACGGTACTAAATATCTACTATCTAGTGCTTTTGTGAATATATCAGCAATCTGTTCCTTTGTTGGTATATATTTCAAAATAACTTGCTCATTGCTGACACAATCACGAATGTAATGATGCTTGACATCTATATGTTTAGATCTTTTCGTTTCGAGCGTCGATGCCATTTTAATGCACGACTGATTATCCTCGAAAACATTTACTGGATAAACATTTCTATTTAAAATTTCTTTTAGAAGTTGGCTTACAAACATAACTTCGGTTAAACAATTTGAAAGAGCAATGTACTCTGATTCTGCGCTAGAAAGAGATACTGTACTTTGCTTTTTGGTTTTCCAACATATAATATTATTGAATATTTTCAACATAAAACCAGTAATACTTTTTCTATCTTTCGTATCATTGGCAAAATCAGAATACACAAATGCACTTAAAATGTCCTTTGGAAGGTTTTCCTTTGTATCAGATTTGATAAAGACTAGTCCTAAATTTACTGTGTTTTTTAAATATTTCAGGACATTTTTAAGTTCTTTCCAATGTTTATGCTCGTAACAATTTTGAAATTTACTAAAATATGTGATTGCGAAACTAATGTCCGGTCTTGGTCCTAACATTAAGTACATTAGTGAACCTATCAATTGCCTGTAAGGTACACTTTCCAAATTTAAATTATTAATTTTGCTTTCATTCATTTCCAGATTAATTTTAGGTTGCACAGGAATTTTTGAAGGCTTACAATCATTCATTTCAAAATCATTCAAAATTTTACAAATCAAATCCTTCTGGTGAATTATAATACTGTCATTATTTAGAATAATATTCAATCCCAAAAACTTCAAATTTTTGCTATCAGACAAATTTTGCATTTCAAATTTTTTCAGTGGCGGATTTAGAGGGGGGGCGCGGGGGGCGCGCGCCCCCCCCTATTGAGCGACGCAACAACGAAATTTTTAACGAAAACACAAACATATTCATCAAGCATTATCCAACATGAAATGCCATATGGTTTTTGCTATTTTTCCAAATTTTTAATACTTTTAAATACGTTTGGCAGCAGCGAGTTGGGAGCGAATCGACTGCGGATGACGTAAATCCGCACCAACTTTGAATTTAATCTATAATTGAAAATTCCAATTAAATTTAATCTCTGATTAAATTAAATGTTGATGTCAAATGATAGTTTATGAAAATCTAAGATAGGAATGTGAAATCGGTTTTCCTCTGAAATTAACCGTTCAGGTTTTACAGCCTGTCAAAGTTGCAAAAAGTCAATGTTCAACTGTCAATATTTCCAAAACAGTTGAACTTAGGTATAGGGTATATCACATGAAATCTGCTCAGAATTTACGTAGAATCCAAATATGCAATCACATACAGGGTGTTTTATTTGAAAACAAGAAAGTTGGTCTAGATAGCAAACAAACCAGAAGTGACACAGGCAATACGTTTAAGTAGAATTGTGGGAAATATTAGGGACATAAAGCTACTTGAAATAATTCATCGGTATCGGTATCCGTAACGCAACTAGATACGTTGACAAGCGAAAAGGCTGTTAAAGCGCTCCCTGTTCCGGTAAACGTAAACGCATTTCATAACCTAGACATTTTTTTCTCAAAACTTCGGCGTTTTTATATCTAACCTTAAAATTGTTATTTTTTTTGCGATAGAGAAGCACTAAACACACAAGAAACTCAAGAAAGTATAAACTAAACAAATTATTAAATCAACCCGGAAGAAAAGGGAGGTTATATTCATTTGAAATTTGACACATGCGTCAGGAATGTCAAGATACGTTACCGATACGGATACCGCGAGAGGGCCGTAACGTTACGCTGTACGTACGGTATCTCGGCCTCCGTATCGCTTCTGCACATGCGCAGTACGATACCGATACGGATACCGAGCAAAAAATACGGAAGCTTTATGTCCCTAATTTACTGAGCAACTTTCATTAAGGTCACTTTTTCGTATACGAAGTAATTAGAAAGTTACAGGTATTATACGCAACTTTTTTGCCACTCTGTATATTTAAGTCGTTTTTTTATTATTTCTTATCTGAGCCTGAGGCCCTGATGGATCGCCCCCCCCTAGAAGGAATCCTAAATCCGCCGCTGATTTTTTCATTAGATTTATTTTAATATTTTTTATGTCTTTGTGAAACCTTGAAACAATAATAAGATCATCTACATGAACAAGAAGATTGTTGTTGAAGTTGAATTTTTAAAATAAAGACATGGATCACTTTTTGACCTTTGAAATTCTATTTCTAACATAAAGTCATTAAATTTCTCGTACCAACATTTGGGAGATTGTCTTAAACCATAAAGAGCTTTTTCTAATCTACAAACAAAATTTTTATTACTCACATTCAGTCCTTGTGGTACCTGCTTGAAAACTGGGTGTTTTAATGTACCATTTAAAAAGGCACTTTTGACATCCAGTTGGTGTATTTCCATATTTTCTTCCAGACTTAGGGCCAGTAAGATTCTCACAGTCATCATTCTGGCGACTCGAGCGTAGACTTCTTCTTCCAGATTAGATAATCGATAGCCTCTGGCTACCAATCTAGCTTTTTTCACTTTTTCAATGCCATTTTCACTTAGGATTTCTTTTTCTCGAGAAATCCATTTCGAATCAATGATTTTTTCACTCCCGGGTACCGCACTTTTTGGCACTAAAGTCCATGTTTTATTTTTGTCCAGAGCACTTAATTCTTTGTCTATTGCTTCTTTCCACTCTTCACTGGTATTTATTGCTTGTTCATATGACTTGGGTACTTCTGGTGATAAATCTTGTATTGATAAGGCTAACATTATTTCTTCTTCATTATTCAGATCATATTCTTCTAATTTCCTGGGTTTCCACTTCATTCTTGTACTTCTTCTGATTTCTTGTTTGTCTTCTTTAATTTGGTTTTTGTTTCGGTTTTTGTTATTTGTATTATTTGGTTCATAATTTAGATTTTCTGTTGTTTCTGTGTCTTCTTGGTTTTCAAATTCTTCTTCATCGATTAATGTTTCATTCTTCATTTGTTCTAGTTGTATATTTTTGTATTTGGGATTTTCATCAAAGATAATGTTTCTTCCAACACATATTTTTGCTTTTTCTGCGTCCCAGAGACGGTATCCATTGTCAGTATATCCGACTAATATCATTTTCTTGCTTCTTGGATCCAATTTGTTGCTTCTTTCCTCTTTTGGTACATGAAGATGTGCATTGCAGCCGAAAACTCTTATTTTTTTCAAATTTGGTTTCTGACTAAACCAAATTTCTGCAGATGTTTTTGAATCTTTAATTACAGAAGTTTCAGTTCTATTGAGTAAATAAATAGCTGTTCCTACAGCATCTTCCCAAAATTCTTTTGGTAAATCTGCGTCGAATGTTAGACATCTAGCTTTTTCCATAATAGTTCTGTTTAATCTTTCAGCAACACCATTTTGTTGCGGTGTGTATTTTACAGTGTTCTGTATATGAATACCTTTTTGATTACAGAAATTTTTAAATTCGTGGGAAACATACTCTCCACCATTATCATACCTGAGTCGATTAATTCTTGAATTAAATTTAATTTCTACCATAAAAAACATATATTTTAAATTTTTCAAAGACTTCACTTTTGTGGTTTAGAAAATAACATGCTGCAAAATGTGAAAAATGGTCCAAAAAGGTAACAAAGTATCGCTTACCATGATTTGATATTGGTGTAATGGGACCACATACGTCTGTCGATACCACTTCTAATAGTTTCTTTGCTTTTCTGTCCTCTTCTAATAATTTGTATGGAGCTTGTGTTTGTTTTCCCTTGAGGCACACTTCACAAATTGATTTTGAAGGATATTTTGAGGAATGCCCAATTCTACGGTGCCATAGTTCCGAATCATTATCTGAAATATTGAGCATTGCTTTTTGCATTGTACATGTCAAAGTGTACAAATTTCCGGTAAGATTTCCTTTCAATAAATTTTCATTTCCTTTCTTGATATGTACCTCATTATCTTTAAATATTACATAGAGTCCTTTTTCTTCTACCTTTTTAACTGAGAGTAAATTATGCGTTAAATTTTTGCATAGTAAAACTTTTTCCAGCTTAAAATTTCTACCATTATTTTCCAAGTGCAAAGTTTCCTGTTTACAAGCTTCAACAGCTTCACCTTCCTTTGCTACTTGTATTTTGTGATTAACTACTTCCACATCAGTTAAATACTTTTCCATGTCTGTAATTACCAAGTGGTTTGTTGCTCCACTATCAACAATGAATTTTACTATGGTTGAATCTGCTGTCAAGACTATATCACTATTTTCATTCGTTAAAAAGGCTATTTCATTTTCTTCTGTTAAGTGACATTGATTACGAGGATTGTTAGATGTATTTCCTGATGGATTGTTGGATGAATTGTTATTTCCGAAGGTATTTCTGTATCTGCATTCTGATCTTTTGTGCCCCTTCTTTCCACAGTTGTAACAATTGAATGGACAATCATTGGTTCTG